GGTACAAAAAAAAAAAAAGAATTATCTATGTGAGATCAAATTGACAACAGCAACTCAAAAGGTTTGATGGGAAGCCTAGGGGGAAGTGAGTTGAAGATAATGGTGATGGAATAATTTGGAAAAGGGTAGTGAGAATAGCAGCACAACTGGAAGAATGTAATAGATGTCACTGAATTGTACATGTAGAAACTTTTGAAATGACGTAACTTTGGCAATGTATATTTTCACCAAAAAAAAATTCCTCCAAGGTCGAGAAGGGAGTGTTGACACATTGTGGGGTTGTTAACCAATGTCATAAAACAATATGTGTACTGACTGTTTAACGAGAAAGTATGTGTTCTGTAAACCTTCATCTATACAATAAAATTAGAAAAAAAAAGAAAGCAATGGGGTACCCAGGTTGGGCCAGTACTTGCAGAGGTTGCAAAGCAAGTTAGTGGCAAGGCTGACACTAAAATCTAGAGGTCTTGGCTCCCCAGCCTGGCCCCAGATTGAGGAAAGAGGGCCAGAGAGATCTAGAGTGTATTTTTGATGGACTGGCAAGGTCCCTGGATTCTGCAAACTCTTTACACTTGGCTACTAATCTAAGTAAAGGTGGGTGATTCAAACCCACCTGCAGCACCATGGAAGAAAGGTCTGGCAATCTGCTTCCATAAAGATTACAGCCAAGAAAACCCTATGGAGTTCAGTTCTACTGTGTAACACATACAGTCGTCATGAGTCAGAATCCACCTGACAGCAAATGATTAGTTTGTCCAGTCAGCCTCACCCCAGACTTGTGCCAAGCCTGAAAGACACATTGTCTGGAGTTCAGCTAGCATAGAGAATAAAAGCACAGACTGTCTGCGTTCAAATCTCAACCTGCTACTGCCCTGCGGGGTAGATTGGGGGCAAATAACCACTCCGTGCCTCAGTTTACTTTTCAGCGAAATAAGAATCATAATAAATAGTGTCCCCTTCACGGGATTCTTGTGAGGAATTAACTAAGACAAAGTTCTTAGAATGATGTCAGTTCCGGATCAGCATTTTGTAACTGTGACTTTGGGCCAAGCCCCTTAACCTCTCTGTGCCTCAGTTTCCTTACCACATAGGGCCTGTGTAGGTTATTTGACATAATAGTTACAGAGCACTTAGATCAGGGCCTGGCTCATAGTAAGTGCTTAATCCATTTACTAATACTGTTATTACCAGGATTTGAACTCGGGTCAATTAGTCTCCACTCCTTGAGGCTTGCCCACCTAGGGAGGTCCTTGATGCTAGGCCAAGAAGCCTCCCCAACTGATCAGCCTCTCGCCCTTGAGAAATTCGAATGGAGGGACTTCAGGCGCTCGGTGGCACCCCTCCCTGCCCCACCCCCGGCTCCCCGCCCTCACCCCACCACTCCCAGGCGGCCTCGCCAGCTCCCCGAGGCAGCCTGAAGAATGTGAAGAGGTAGGTGGGGGTGGGGAGGAGCGGCAGCCGCCAGGGAGAGACAAAGGGGCCGAGTCAGAGCGAGAGACACAAAGAGGCAAGCGACGGCGGGAGACTGGGGAGATAGGAGAAGTGGGACAAGGACACGGGAAGGACCTGCAGGACTGAAGGCCGGACGCTAGCCCAGCCCCACTCTGCCCAGGCGGCCCGCGGAGCGCGGGGCGGGTCAGTGCTGCCGCCTGGCGGGCGGCTGCGGTAAGGAGGCATCGCGGACCGGTGTCGAAGCGGGAGGAAGGGACACAGAACGGAGAACACAGACATCGAAAGAGACACAGCGAGAGAAACAAGAGACATTGAGAGACAGAAACACCGAAAGAGACAGGGACAGAGAGGGAGGGAGAGAGACAGAAATGGAGTCAAAGGGACGGAAAGAGACTCAGGGACCAACGCGATACAGAAACAGTGACAGAAATAGAGACCAGAAACGACGACACTGGGGCGAGGAGACAGAGACCCAGAAACAGAAACAGGGACGGAGAGGGAAATTCAGACAGTGAGAGACACAAAGACAGAGACACTAAGAGGGGCTGAGAGAAATCTAGAGGGAAACGACAAAGCGACACCCAGAGTCCGAGGCACAGATTAGACAGAAACCAGAGGACGCTGAGAGTCGCCCACAGAGACAGGGCAAGCGGCGCGAACTGGGCAAGATGCACGGCGCGGGTGGAGGTCTTAACGTGGGGGCGGGCCCCCGAGGGGGCGGGTCTATGAGAACGCACGTGCCTCACGCAGGTGTGAGGGCGGCTAATACCGAGGAGGGAGGGTCAGAACTTTAAAACCGGCCGAAACCCGGCCGGACTGCGCTCCTGTAGAGGCAATACCGAATACCGAGGGAGCAGGGGAGCGGGGCCGCATCAGGGGCGTGGCTTCACTGGGGCGGAGGAGCCAGAAGCTCGGGAGGCGGCGTGTCAGAATCTCAGCGGAAACGCGCGTAGCTGGGGGCGGGGCTTGGGGGGGCCGCCTCGGGTGCAAAGGGAGGGGGCGTGTTAGAACACCTTAGGTGCTGGGCTAGAATACTGAAGGGGGCGGGTTTGAACAGCAAGAGGGGACGAGGACAACATTCTGGGGGAGGAGCGAGCATAGAATCCTGGGGAGGGGCGGACGTAGAACCCCGGGAGTGGGTCGGGTCTGGATACAGGGAAGGGGCCGGTGTAGTATCCTGGGAGTGGGTGGGGTCAGGATCCGGACGGGGGACAGACGTAGAACCCCGGGAGTGGGCGGGGTCAGGAGCCCGACGAGGGAAAGACGTAAACCCAGGGAGGGGGCGGGGTCAGAATCCTGGGGGCAGGTGTAGAATCCCGGGAGGGGGCGGGGTCAGTACCCTGGGGGCGGGGCCGGAGCCGGAGCCCGGGGTCCACTCGGCGGGGCGGGGCGGGGAGCGGAGGGGTGGGTCCTGTGACGTCAGCGAGTCCGAACGGCCAGAGCGGAGCTAGGGGCCCCCGGCGCAGGGACTGGAAGGCAGAGCGCGACGATAACCGGCCTGGTGCCGGAGCTTTTCAGGCACCTGCTCCCCCGCCCACCCGATCAGCGCTCGCGTAGTGGCCCGCGGCCCCCTACAGGGGTCCAGACCCTTCCCGGGCCCTCCATGGCCCGGGCCGCAGCTCTCCTCCCGCTGTCGAAATCGTCGTGGACGCTACTGCTGTCGCTGCTGCTTCTACTCTGGGAAACCGGTGAGAGAGCGCGGACGGCCCCGGGGACTCCTCCTCCCCCGCGGGGGGACCGTCCCCCATCCCCCACTCTCTATTCCCCACCTACCCCCAGTTTTCCGAGCCCCCTCTGTCGTGCCCACTTTCTGGCTGACCCTCCCTCTCTCCATCTCGCTCATCCCCACCCCCATCCTCAATCCCAACTTCTGTTCCTCTCCTTCCCCTCCCTCAGACCTTGCCGCCGAAAGGGTTAAACCTGAGGTCCGCCGGAGGCCTCGCGCCCCCTCCCCACTCTGCGCCGACCAGTTAGCCCGGATCTGGGTTTCCGTCGCCACTTCCCCCCTCAGGAATGTAGGGAATGTCCCCCTCCCCAGCAGGAGGGTCGCGGTGATGGAGCAAGACCACCCCCCCACCTCTTTTTCCTTCTCCCAGGGCTGAGCGTCTGAGGCCTGGAGAGAATTGAGGGCTGGGGGCCTGGTACCGACCACGAGAGGAAGGACGGGGAGCTCGGGCTTGGGATCTCTCGGAGGATAGAGGATTAGAGTTTGGGTGATCTGGGAGAAGGGCCGGGGGGCTCCAACCCCACGTCTCAGGAAGCTGAGGGCTCCGACTCGTGGGCCTCAGATAACAAGGGGCTGGAGGCTTACTCCTTGGCTCCAGAAAAATTCGGAGCTAGGGTCTCTGTCTCTGGGTTCCAGGTAGAATGATGACTGGGAGCTCTGTTTAATGGGGTCCAGGTAGAACTAGGAAAAGAGGCTCAATTTTGTGGGCTCCACATTTAATTTTGGGCAAGAGGCTCTGTCTACTGGAGTCCAGATAGAATTGGAGCCTGGAGGGTCTCAATCTTGTGGGTTCCAGAGTTAACTGTGGGCAGGGGCCTCTGTCTACTAGGGTCCAGGTAGAGCTGGAGCCCGGGGGATCTCCATCTTGTGGGCTCCAGATTTAGTTGTGGGCTGGGGGCTCTGTCTACTGGGGTCCAAATAAAGCTGGAGCCTGGGGGGGTCTCCATGTTGTGGGTTCTACGTTTGATTGTGGGCAGAGGGCTCTGTCTCCTGGGTTTTAGGTAGAGTTGGGGGGGCGGAGGTTCAATTTCGTGGGCAGAAGAATATCGTATGAGATCCAGATATAACTGGGCAGGGACTCTGTCTCCTGGGTTCCAGATACAGTTGAGGGCCGGAGGGTCGGTCGGCTGGGTCCCAGGTAGAACAGGAGGCCGACCTCCGGAGGCTGGAGTGGGGGTGCCCATCCCTCTCCATGTGAGCGGTCTGCGGGGACGTCCCGGGGGAACTTTTCCCGATTTCACTCTCGCCGATCCGGGCGGGGCGGGGCGGCGCTATCCCGACTCCCGGTTCCGGACTCCTGGGTTTCGGGACCTTATCTTTCCTCTTGCAGCGCCTTTGTCCTCCGAGCCACTGCGGGAGCTGGACAGGAGGAGCCGCCCTAATCCCCGCTCCTCCCTCTACTCTGCCCTTAACCCTCCCCACCCCGCCCTACCCCCTTCCTGTCCCCACCCCCGCTCGGGGGCGAGGCCCCCAGGAGAGGGAGGGGCTAGGAGGGAACAGGTGAAGGAGTCGCTGGCTCCGCCCCCTGCAGGTGACCTGGCTGTTTATTCCCAGCTGGAAACTCGGGATGCTGGGGTTTCACAAGGGTTTTCTCAGAAGGGGGTACAGGGAGATGTGAGGGTAGTCCAGCCAGCTCTCTGGTCTCATTCCCCCACCCCCCAGGGTATCTCTTGAGTCTCTACCAGCCTTGACCCAGAGCTGGGGACTGCCTCTGCCATCCCCCGCCTGGTGTGTCAGAGCCTCCAAGTGAGTTCTCGGTATCCACCAGGCCTTGAGCGTTGATGTCTCATGGAAGGATCTATATGGCTTTTATGGAATGTTCTGGACTGCTTTAGGAGGCAGATCCTGTACCTGTTCCCATTTTTCAAATGAGGTAACAGAAGCTCAAAAAGAACAAGTCACTTTCCCGGGGTCCCACAGCCAGTCCTTGGGGTGTCCCACTCCAGAGCCTACCCTCTTAGCTCTTCAAATCCGCTCTGTTCAGCTGGGTGGGAGCCTCTTCGAGCCTCCACTTCCTCCTTCATTAAAGGGAGATAACAGTCTCTTTTGTCTTAGTATCTAGTGTCGCTATAACAGGAATACCCTAAGTGGGGGGCTTTAACGGACAGAATTTTATTTTCTCACAGTTTAGGAGACTAGGAGTCCGAATTCAGGGCGCCGACTCTAGGGGAAGGCTTTCTTTCTCTGCTGGCTCTGGAGGAGGGTCCTTGTCTCTTCTGAGCATCTGCTCTTGGGCGATCTTCATGTGTCTTGGCATCTCTCGTCCCCATCTCTGCTACTCCCTTGCTTGTTTAATCTCTTTCTATCAAAAGAGATTGACTCAAGATACACCCTACACTAATCCTGCCTCATTAACGTAACGACAGTCCATTCCCAAATGAAATTGTAACCACAGGCATAGAGGTTAGGATTTACAACACATATTTTTGGGGAACACAGTTTAATCCATAACGCCGTCCCTGCGAGGCTATGGGGAGGATTCAAAGGTACCACTGGCCCTGAGTGAAAGCTCTTAGGACCTGGGAGGGGGCCGTTCCCCTGAACTGACCCCTGGAGCCTTCTGTCTCAGCTCTCTGCTGGCCAATTCTGTCTCTTCCCTTCCCTTCTCTCTCTCTGGGTCTCTCTCCCTTTTTCCTTTCTTTGCTCTCCCTTTCTCTCTCTCTTCATTCTCTTTCTCCTCTCTCTTTCCCTTTGCTCTCTCTGTCTCTCCTTCTATGACTCCCTGGAGTGCTTTCTCTGTTCCTTTCTCCCGGTCTGTCTGTTTGTCTATCTGTCTCTCTCCTTTCCACCCATCTTCGTTCACCTGTCGCTACCTCCTCCGCCTTCCCCTTCCTGGGCCTCCGCAGGAGATGAGGGAGCCCACCTGGACTGGCTTCCCTCCCTACTCCTCCCCAAACATTCACTGTTCCTCCATGGTCAGGGAGGGGAACAGGAGGAAAGGGGACTGCAGGTCTGGCTGTCACCTCTCCTTAGGCAAAGGGGGCTGGGCAGAGGAGAAGTGGGGGTGGGTCTGCAGGAGAGGACAGAGATACAAAGATGGAGGAAGAGGTGGAGGAAGTAAATTTGGGATGGGGCTAGCGGCACATACAGGAATGAAGCAGAGAGAAGGAGGGGAAAGACACAGGGATGGGCCAGAGAAAGAGGGGCAAGGGAGCTGGACAAAGACACCAGGCTGAAGATAGGGACAACTGAAGGAGAGAGACAGAAAGGTTTGGTGACAGGCGGGGAGGGTGGAGATGCCGTGACTGACCCAGGGAGGTCGGGGCACAGAAGAGCTGAGCCTCAAGGCCAGCCATGTGTGGGCCACAGGGAGTGGTGGACATAGAAGGGACAGGGAGTGGGGCATGCGGGCCAGCTCCCCCGCCCCCGCCTGGGATGCTGTTACATTTTTAATGTCCCAGCAAGGCTGAGAAATGGAGCAGGTGGGGGAGGAGAAGAGAGGACCCAGGGCAATGGCCCAGGATAACCTAGGCAGAGAGAATGTTTATCAGAGACAGGGATTGGAGATCCCAGGGTCAGAGACAGAAAAGCAGAGACCCTGAGAGACATAGACCAAAGACCCTGAGAGATTAGAGACCCCAGGCAGGAATCCAATGCAGAAAGCCAGATTCCAGAGACTGGGAGACCCAGACACCTAAAAACCGAGGCCTCAGATGTCAGAGAGAGAAAAGGGAATATGGGAACGTCTGAGGACGATGTGGAGCGGAGGTCTTCTTGGACTAATGAAAATGTTCTAAAATTGACTGTGCTGAGATATGCACAACTCTGTGATGATCCTCAGAGCCACTGAATTGTACACTTCAAATAGGTGAATTGTACAGTACATGAATTATCTAAAGCTGTTAAGAGAGGGAGAGAATAAGACAGACACAGAGAGAAAAGAGCGGGGACCCTGGGAGACGTTGATAAGAGTGACAGAGACTCTAAGACATACGGGGGCAAAGACCCTGAAAGGCAAAGAAACAAAAACAAAACGAACAGAAAATACAAACTCATTGCCTTTGAGTCAGTTCTGACTCATGGCGACCCCACGCGTGTCAGAGTAGAACTGTGCTCCATAGGGTTTTCTTGGGTCACTGTGAGTTGGAATCGACTCGACAGCAAAGAGTTGGTTTTTTTTTGTTTGTTTAATCTTTACAGAAGCAGATAACCAGGGCTTTCTTCCACAGCACCACTGGGTAGGTTCGAACTGCCAACCTTTAGGTTAGTAGACAAGTAGAAACCATTTGCACCACCCAGGGATCTGGCAAAGAGACAGAAATTCTGGGAGTCAGAGGCACAGAAAGGCAGACACAAGGCCCTCAGAACTAGATGCAGAGGTACCAGAGATTCTGGGAGACACAAGAGACACTGAGAGACTCCCCAGAGAGAATTAAGACTTTCAAGCGATGGAACCTGCAAGAGGGGAGATGGGAGTCTCTAAGGGACAGAGACATTAGGTGTTTTCACCAGGGGCTCAGCCCAAAAGAGCAGTCCTACAGATTCACCCCCAGAAGGGGCAGAGCCCACAAGGGAGACTATCAGGGTGGCCCCTGGCCCCTGCAGAAAGGAAGGGAAATCTCAGCCCTCGGTTTTCCCGGGCTGAGTGAAAACCACCATCAGCAGGACAGACCAGGGGAAGCCGGGAGGGAGGGGCAGAACTCCAGGCATAGACAGACAGACAGCCCTACATCCCGGCTTCCCCCTCTGCACACCGCCCCCCAAACCGGCTGGATTTCCGCTGTGGGGGTGGGTGCTGTGATGAAAGCAATTAATTAATTAACGAGGCGGCTGAGGCAGCAGCTGAGGCCCCTGCTCAAAGCACTCACACAGGCCTTCAAGGGCCTGGTAGGGTCTGGCCACGTCAGGTGATGGGAGGGTGGGTCATGGAGTTTTATAGATCTGGGGGTTGGGTAACCCAAGCACTGAGGAGAAGCCAGGCAGGGACCCAGGAGCCCAGCCTCCAGTCCCTCCTCCCCAGGT